AGACAAATGCCAACAGGCACATGGACACACACAAAGGTAGTCACTAAAGTACCCCCAAGATGGGGATGGGGGAGCAGCAACCAAAGTGTGCATCAAAAGGCAACTTGCTCCGTAAGTGCAGCACTCTCAGTGTAAAGTGCAGTGCTTCAGCATGAAGTGCTACACCCCAGAGGTCGAGAGGGAAGCCGTGGGGAGGCACACCCCGGTTACAGGTAGACATAATATGATGTCAATTTTGTTTTTAAAAATACATACATACATAGTCTAGATGCCACCAAGAGCCAATAGTGAATATTTCTGGAAAGTGGGTGAAAATGATTGGTGCTCTTCACACTTTTTAATTTGCAAACATGAATCGGCACTATTTTAGGAAACTTCCCTAATAAAACAAATCAATAAATGAAGGGCATAAACATAAAGGTGACAAATATCCCTGCACTTACCACTAGAAGGAAAATGATCCACCTGGAATCTCCCAGGTGCCCCTCCCTCAACACTAGGGTCTAAAATGAGCCAGGTTTGAAAGCTGGATATTTATCATCCTTGGTTTGACTCATGTGCCTTTCTAACTAACATGCCTGGGGGAGGAGTAATATCACCAGTTGACATATTCAGTGACGTACACTGTGGGAATTAATGAAATAATGGTTGGGAATGCAGCTACTATAGGACCAGCACACTGCAGATTCTGAATCAGGTTTCCAAAGAATGGCTTGAACACTATACAAGGCCTGAGTGGCCACAGGAGCAACCTTTCTCCAGGACCTCCTCTGTGCCACACACTGCTTACATGTCAGACATATGCTATATCAGACTCGAAACTGTGTGAGGTAGGGGATATTATTTCCTTATTTCATTGATGAAAATACAAGCAATGGGAGTCAAGTCAAGGCAGGGGCAAGCAAGCAGGAAGCAGGCGAGCAGGATTCTAATCCAGGCCTGGGCTGGCAGAGCTCCAGCTATGGCTGTCAAGCCCTGCACCTCCTCTGCTGCACTTGGTGGAGGGAAGGGGAGGAGTTGATGCCTCTGCTTCTGCCCAAATTATTCCTCAGTCCCAGGTCACACTCAGAGCTGATTTTTAAAAGCAAACTAACACAGTGGGTTTGCATACCTTATGCTCCATAAGGTGCCATGAACGCTGAATTAGCCAAYGCTGAACCACTGCTCCTGGGGAAGACAGGGCCAGGAACCCACGAGAATCCCCTAATTACATTTCCAGCAATGGATCAATTTACAACTCTATTTCATGTATATTTCTGTTTAAAAACACCCTAATATATTTTGTTGGTTTATGACATTGAATTCAAAGCCAAAAGCACTATAAACCATATTTTCTCCACAAGAACAGTCATAACTTTATTGTGCTTAAGGACACTATTTAGCTCCTCAGCACTATGCTCAGGGGTCATTTTAAACAGTGAAATCACCACCACCAATAACAACAACAACAACAAAATCAGAAAAATGCTACAAACATGGCAGGAAATAAACTATAAAAGATATCTTTTGGCCTCTATACTCTACATTCTTGATTAAACTTGGCAAGACTGGAGGAGAAAGAAGGAAACAAGGGGCCAATCTTCCTGATGGAATTCATCTTCCCCTAACATCTAAAACCCCTAACGTCACTCATTCATCAAACTTCACTGAATACATACAAGTGTAATGCACCTATACAGAATAAATTATGCTCATCTCTTCTGGTTTCCTAAGACCCTTAATTAAAACAGAACAAAGTGTCCTAAACTAGTGGCTCTCAGTCCTCAAAGAACATTTGGAAATAGCTGGAGACATTTTTAGTTGTCACTACTGGGGGATTCCTACTGGCAACAGGACATCCCCCAAAACAAAGGCAACAGCACTAACCTAGAAAAATCCTTCTCTAAGCAGCAATTGTTCTTCTGTGAAAAGTTAATGAGGTATTCTAAAACAGTGTTGTCCAAATAGAACTTTCTGGAAATGTTTTATATCTGTGCTTTCCAACACAGTAGCCATGTGTTACATATGATAGTTTTTGTATTATTCATTCATTGCACAAGTTAATTAATTAATCATTTAATTTAATCATAGCCACATGAGTAAGTGGCTATCATATTGTATAGAGAAGTTAAAGAATACATCCAACTTAAGAAATAACTAAATGCATGGTATGAAATTCAACTGGAATCCGCATGAAATAATTAGCTATATTTGATATCTTAAGAGCAGCAAATGAAAATGGACTACTAGCAGACAATATTGAATTGTATTTATTTATTTATTTTGGTGTGCTGTTTGTCATCCTCATTTTTAGGATATGCTTAGTAGTAAAGGGTGAAATGTCAGGTTCACAGTGTGAGATTAAAAGCGACTAAGAATGATAACTAAATTCTATGTGAAATTCCAAATTGATTTATGGAAAAAAAATAAAGGACAGTGGTAAAAAACCTGAAAAAAATCTATAAAGTCTATAATTAGTGGTATTGCACCAATGCTAATGTCTCAGATTTACTAATTTTACTGTGATTACATAAGATGTTGACATTGGGGGAAGCTCGGATAGGGATTTGGGAACTGACTGTACTATTTTTGCAATAATTCTTTTAAGTCTAAAATTATCTCCGAATACAAAGTTAAAAAAGTTATCCCAAGAGCTAAAGGAAGTTTGCAGGAAAAGCTCCAAATGGTTACCATGTCATGAACAACTACGCCCATAGTTGTTAAGGTCCTGTACGATCTGTGCTCCTGCCGGCCCCTCCAGCCTGCACTCTCTCTTTCTCACTCTCCAGCCACACAGGGCTTCTTTCCAGCTGCCACAGGCACTCTGCACATGATGAGCACCCACCTTTAGGAAACAATCCTTTCTTACAAAACTTCTCACTCCCGGTAGCCCTGCCTCAAGAGCAGATTAAGTTCCCTTGCTGTAATGGAGTTTTACTCAACCACAAAAAAGAATGAAATGATGTCTTTTGCAGGAAAATGGATGGAACTTGAGACCATTAGGTTAAGGAAAATAAGCCAAACTCAGAAAGTCAAGAGTCATTATGTTTTCTTTCCTATGTGGAGGCTAAAGAGGAAAAAGGAAAAGAAAGATGAGGGCTGGGGACATTACTTAAAGTCAAAGGGAGATCAGTAGAGGACAGGAAAGATACTAGGAGGAGGCAGGAAGGGGAGAGAAAGGAGAAACACTGGGGAATGATATTGGCCAAATTACATTGTTGTATCATGTGCATGTACAACAAATCCATAACAATGAATCTTACCGTTTTGTACAATTAAGAACTGTGAGAAAAAAGTTGCTTGCTATAAACCCCATAATACTTTCACCTTTCTCTTTCCTTACATACAACACCCTTGGTTTTATCTGCATGGTTGGTGATTTATGTGGACTCCACAAAGGCAAGACCATGTTTAAAATTCACCACAGTGCCAAATCTGTAGACACACAGCTCCATGTTTAAACAAACTTAGGAAGTTCTTAAGAAGTTAGTGGGATTCACAGTCACATGTCTATAGTTTCTGACTCATGAATCTGATATTTACTGAGGCACCAGGACACAGTGGGGAACCAACAGACTGAGTAAATGAGTCAGTTAAAGAAAACTGGTTCTAACTACGATGCCTGTCATCCAATACAGTAGAGGAAGTCCAGACAGACTTCTGCTTTCTATTTTTATCTATTTTTATCTAGAGCACATGACAGAAGTGAAAGGAATTCCCAGTCCCAAGTGGGAAACTTGCTGGGGGAAGCCTGGCTTCTTAGGCCTCAGCCCAGAAATGATCCCGGCAGGCTACCTCCTCCAACTCTCTCTGAAAAAGCTGCCCAGCTCCCAGGCAAGCCATTCATTCTCTCAACAAACAACCTTTGAGGACCAGCTATGAGCCCAGCACTCTTCTAGGAGTCGATGATAAAACAATGAACAAAACCAGTAACATATCAGCCTCCCAGTTTATAATCTAGTGATGGAGACAGTCAATGAGACAAATCAGTGAAATAAAAATTTTCTAGGAAGAACATGCTACCAATAAAACATAATGCATTAATTGCTTGTGGTCAGTATGGAAAGCTGGGCATTTTCTACAGAGCAGCCCTGGGAAGACCCCAAGATTTTTGAGCAAAAGATGTCATGGAAGTAAAGGAGCCAGTCATTAAGTATGTTGTGCGGGTGGGGTGGATACTGGAGGGAGAAATCCAGAGATGCAAATCCCTAATCAAGAGTGAGCGTCCCCTTGAAAATCCAGCAGGGATGCCGTGTATTTGGAGTCAAATGCTTAATGGGGAGGCAGCTAAGACTCTGATCCTTCTGGTTCCTGGTCGGTCACGTAACTTTGTAGTTACTCTATCATCATGTAACAGACAAGCAACCCATTATCCATACTTACTAGGCTCTATTGGAGTTCCACAGCCAGCACAGAGGAAATTCTGGGCCACTACCACCAGCTCCCTCCTGAGGACAGAAAATGGTTATAATAACATTAATATTATAATAACATTAATGGTTATAATAACATTAAAAATGTGGCCAATGGAACATTTTTTAACCAATGCACATCATGATGTGTTTCTTCCCTTGGGACCTTAATTTTGTCATTTATCATTTGGAAAAAAAAAATGAGATTTATTCAGTACAATTTTCTAATTGAACTATTTGCATTTTTTAAAGCTTAAACCCTTTAAAACTCTCTTCTGTCCCTAAAGTATAGAGGTCAGAATCACAAATTTTTACTCCACCATGGGGTCTTTAAGAACTTTTCATTGCCCGTGCACAGGAGTTTTTCTCCACATTACAGTGGAAGACGGTTCAGGAAGAACAACACCAAAAGGTGAGGTCTTTGGAAAGTTCATAAATGGATCCAAAGATATTCAATGAAAAGAGGTAATGGAAGAAATACTCCATGGAAATGTTTCCTACTGAATTGCTGTGCACTTTTTCACCAAGACAAGATGGTTAAAATTGAATTGGAGTTCAAGGCCAGCAAAAATGGTGAATGCAAAAGTATGCTAAGTTTCTGCCTATCTACCTTAGAGAGGATCGAGAGAATCCCTACAGAAGAGATACCCCATGCCAATAAAAATGACCTCTCACAAGGCCTAGAGAGCCAGTGAGCTCTTCTGCCCAAGCAGCTCCAAGGACTTTCTTGCCATACTCTCTAAAGAAAAAAAACAGAATGAATCTATGAGGCACTTCCTTAGGGCCAAATCAACAAGGTTCCACAGTCCCTTTATGACCCTCTGGAGTGTGCTCACCAAATTTAACACAAACCAAGAGGAGTGGAAAAATGAGTTGGTAAGAATGTCTATTCTGTAATCTTTCTCTATAAGCTGTCATATAATCTCAGAACAAATTACAATTAAACTACTGTTAGTCTCTGTGTGTGTATGCATTCACATGAATGCACAGTTTATTTACTTTTCTGCATCATTTTAGATTTTAAGCCTTTTCTGACTTTTGCTATTTCTAAAAGAATGAGAATGTTTTTATTGATAATCTGCTACATTTATCAATTATAGGAGTGATCTTCAAGATTGAATTTTCCCTTTTGAAAATGTATTAGTTTTTAGTACACACTACCTGCATGGGAAATATGGAATGATCCAGTCTTTTCAAATTGTAATATTTGATTTTTTTTAAATTAATTAATTAATTAATTTATTTATTTTTTATTTTTTTTATTGTTGGTTGTTCAAAACATTACATAATTCTTGATATATCATATTTCACACTTTGATTCAAGTGGGTTATGAACTCCCATTTTTACCCCRTATACAGATTGCAGAATCACATCAGTTACACTTCCATTGATTTACATATTGMCATACTMRTGTCTGTTGTATTCTGCTGCCTTTCCTATCCTCTACTATCCCCCCTCCCCTCCCCTCCCCTCCCCTCTTCTCTCTCTACCCCCTCTACTGTAATTCATTCCACCCCCTTGTATTGTTTTTCCCTTTCCCCTCACTTCCTCTTGTATGTAATTTTGTATAACCCTGAGGGTCTCCTTCCATTTCCATGCAATTTCTCTTCTTTCTCGTTTCCCTCCCACCTCTCATCCTTGTTTAATGTTGGTCTTCTTCTTGTGCTCTTCTTCCCTAGTCTGTTCTTAGTTACTCTCCTTATATCAAAGAAGACATTTGGCATTTGTTTTTTAGGGCTTGGCTAGCTTCACTTAGCATAATCTGCTCTAATGCCATCCATTTCCCTCCAAATTCTATGATTTTGTCATTTTTTAATGCAGAGTAAAACTCCATTGTGTATAAATGCCACATTTTTTTTATCCATTCGTCTATTGAAGGGCATCTGGGTTGCTTCCACAGCCTTGCTATTGTGAATTGTGCTGCTATGAACATCGATGTAGCAGTGTCCCTGTAGCATGCTCTTTTTAGGTCTTTAAGGAATAGACCGAGAAGGGGAATAGCTGGGTCAAATGGTGGTTCCATTCCCAGCTTTCCAAGATATCTCCATACTGCTTTCCAAATTGGCTACACCAATTTGCAGTCCCACCAACAATGTACAAGAGTACCCTTTTCCCCATATCCTCGCCAGCACTTGTTGTTGTTTGACTTCATAATGGCTGCCAATCTTACTGGAGTGAGATGGTATCTTAGGGTGGTTTTGATTTGCATTTCTCTGACTGCTAGAGATGGTGAGCATTTTTCCATGTACTTGTTGATTGATTGTATGTCCTCCTCTGAGAAGTGTCTGTTCAGGTCCTTGGCCCATTTGTTGATTGGGTTATTTGTTATCTTATTGTCTAATTTTTTGAGTTCTTTATATACTCTGGATATTAGGGCTCTATCTGAAGTGTGAGGAGTAAAGATTTGTTCGCATGATGTAGGCTCCCTATTTACCTCTCTTATTGTTTCTTTTGCTGAGAAAAAACTTTTTAGTTTGAGTAAGTCCCATTTGTTGATTCTAGATGTTAACTCTTGTGCTATGGGTGTCCTATTGAGGAATTTGGAGCCTGACCCCACAGTATGTAGGTCGTAGCCAACTTTTTCTTCTATCAGATGCCATGTCTCTGATTTGATATCAAGCTCCTTGATCCATTTTGAGTTAACTTTTGTGCATGGCGAGAGAAAGGGATTCAGTTTCATTTTGTTGCATATGGATTTCCAGTTTTCCCAGCACCATTTGTTGAAGATGCTATCCTTCCTCCATTGCATGCTTTTAGCCCCTTTATCAAATATAAGAAAGTTGTAGTTTTGTGGGTTGGTTTCTGTGTCCTCTATTCTGTACCATTGGTCCACCTGCCTGTTTTGGTACCAGTACCATGCTGTTTTTGTTACTATTGCTCTGTAGTATAGTTTGAAGTCTATACCGCCTGATTCACACTTCCTGCTTAGAGTTGTTTTTGCTATTCTGGGTCTTTTATTTTTCCATATGAATTTCATGATTGCTTTCTCTATTTCTACAAGAAATGCCGTTGGGATTTTGATTGGCATTGCATTAAACCTATAGAGAACTTTTGGTAATATCGCCATTTTGATGATGTTAGTTCTGCCTATCCATGAACAGGGTTTAGTTCCAGTATTAACCACTTTAGAATTGCCTTAAAGCCTATTTAATTTTCAGTTGCCATGGAATACTTACAGTTCAGGATGCATAGTCACATTCTCAGTTTGTCAAAACCTACAGAGCCCCCAAAAGCCCATGATAAACAACGTGTCAGAAAAACTAAGCTAGAAAAATATGCACAACATTCCTGTTCCAAATTTCCCTGTGTCCCTAAGCATACTCTTTTTTTCCTTCCTCTACCTCAATAAAGAATTGGTGGAGCCAAACATACTGGCACATGCCTATAATCCCAGTGACTAAAGGAGGCTGAGGCAGGAAGGCCAACCTCAGCAACTTAGTGAGGCCCCAAGTAACTTAATGAGACCCCRTCTCAAAATAAAAACTAAAAAGAGCTAGGGATGTGGCTCAGTAGTGCCCCAAATGTAATCCCTGGTATCAAAAGAAGAAAAAAAAAAAAGAATAAAGAATCAGTAGGTTCCATCACCACMTGTTTTCTTTCAATGGACTGGGATCCAGGCAGTAGTCTATACTTACTTGAGTGGTGGATGAAGATCAAGTATGATCTGAAATCTAGGGGGAGCCCAGTCTTCAGTCCCTCTGATCCTAGACTTAAATTGAATGTCCTGTTCTATATCCATACTGGATTCAAAGTCTTTTCGGACATTTTCTTCATTTGCAACCTGCATATCACATAAGAGGATTCAGGAAAACCATAAATATTTTAAGAGTTTAAATAAAGAGCATTCAAATGTGTTTTCTATCTTAAAATGTATCATGAAAATTAAAACTGTTTTTACCTGAACCATGGCAAGGGCCCTCCACCTCCACCTCACCCCCCCCCCACAGCTCCTATGAGGCTCAGTTTTCTTAGGAGTATTTTTAGTTTGTTTCCAGACTTTAAATTTTCAGCAAGTAGGTCATTTTGACCTGGAAAATTTTTCAGAAGACTCCCTCGGTCAGTCAACAGACTGGGAAGCACCGCCTATGAGCACCGTCTTGTGRTGTGTCTCCCTAGAAACAGCTCTGTTCAGGTGCTCCTGGACTAATACTTGCCCATCAGCCTTCCCAGTTTCCCTGATAAAATTAAACTCTCCCTCCCCAACACTTCCAGAGTGTTTTCTCCCCACTCTTATTTTAGCCTTTGTCACAAGTCCTCCACCCCCACCCAGCTGCATGCTCAGAGGGTGCTATGTGTTACAAAGAAACCAGCCTGTACTTTAAAATGAGGCAGCTGGGGCATGACTCCTGCTTGACCACTGACCAGCCCAGCTGAGGTCTAGGCCCAGCATTTTAAAATAACAAAGATAAGAGCATTCTCCTGATAAGATACATGGGATTAAAATGTGACTCACAAAGCACAGTCCCTGATACACAACAAGCACTCAGTACATGCTGGTTTCATCTTTGGTTTCAAGTCTCCCCCATGGGGGATACCATACAAGAAAGCATAAATATTGGAAGTGAATGGGCTAGGGAAACAGAGAATTTAGGAACTTTTGATTCAAGGTCAATTTATTTTAATACTTACTCCTGAATCACTTGCATTCAGGGAATCTGCCAGCTGATACTTAACTGCTGACGATACCCAGCACTTCTGGAATACTTGGTACAACTCTTTGGCTAACAGCTCAGGAGAATTGAAGTCTGCCTCATGAGAAACACTGAAACACAAGAGATGTAAAAATTGGAAAACTATATCCATGAGGCATGGGCTCAGACTCTTCCTCAGGTTTCCAACTGTTCTTTCTACCCCCAACTCAGAGGAGGTTGTTGGGTGAAAACCAGTATCAGTCACYGGCTGGTATCTTAAGCAATACACTTCGTTCATAGTATACGTGCCTAAGACTTGAAGGTGAAACAAGCACTAACTTTCAAGTCATAAGGCCTGAGCACAAGCCCTACTTCTGCTATGGAACAGCACTGTAACCTGAGGCACATGCTCTAGGGGCCTTAACTTCTAGGTCCATAAAATGAAGTTTAAAAATAAATACAAACATGGAAACTTGACAGGCCTGCTCATGAGGATTAAATGAGAATGTATACAAAAACCTCTTAAGTGCTATAAAGCCTTTGGGGCTGCTATGACTGGAATATATACAGCATTCTCCAAAGGCCCCTATGTTAAGGGCTTGGTCCTCAGGGTGGCACTATTATCTGGAGGCAGTGGAACTTTTGGGAGGTGGGGCCTAGTGAGAGGTTCTTAGGTCACTGGAGGTGTGCCCTCAGAAGGGAGTGGAACCCTGCTTCCTGGCTTAAGATGTGAATGTTCTCTCTGATGTAAACTTCCACCATGTTGTCCATCCAACCACCATCCTCACCAGAGGACTGTGCAGCTACCATACCTTTGAACCTCTCAAATTGTAAGCTAAATAAAACTTTTCTAAGTTARTTGACTTGGTTATTGCTAGAGTAACACAAACCCCTAACTGGGGTAGGGGAGCGGGCTCACTGACTGATTTAGGTGGTAATCCCCATCTTTGAGCTGGCTCAGCCCTGTTTGAGACCTAACRTCCACAGTACCTCCAAGGTACCCACCCAGGGGCCTAAGTGAACATGGAGGACAATTACCTCTTACAGGACCTGTAGGAACAGCTACAAGTTTCTTTGATATCATTAAACTCTCCAACTTCTGTGGGAAAAGAAAGAGTAGTGATATCTTTCAGTCTATTTCACTTAATCATAGTCAATTTTGTAAGAAGAATATAAAAAGAGCTCCCTGCCTCTCAGAAAGAACCTCCTCCCTGCCTCTCAGAAAGAACCAATTATTCCACATCTCCATGCCTTAGGTTCTTCTGAGTTTCTAATATGAGGCTCCAGCCAAAGATCATAGGTAGAATTTCATCTGAAATTTCACCAGAATATAATTGAGAGATCAAGCAGATATTAGATCCTAATGAATATCTGCTTTTTCATTCAATTCTACAAGTGAGATGAGAGATTAGCTAGCAAGACATGTCAAGCAAAAAAATAACTTTTTCATATCAGAGACATAATTTGATCTTGATAGACATTTCTTTGCATGCCACTAAAATGGGGTACTGTGTGTATTACATGTTAGTAAGTGTGTGAAGAGGGGTGTGGGGAGGCAGCCAGTCAGAGCCAACAAGAATCCAAATCTTACCTACAATAACAAATTCATCAAGGCTGCATCTGCAGGCCTCTTGCACCACATTAGAGTGAGAAGGTGTTTCGACCTTGGGGCTGACCTGTAACACAGCACAACCTAGAGAAAGAAGGCAAGGGGGATTTCACCATCAGAAGAAAAAGAAAGATTGGGGATGTAGCTCAGTGGTAGAGAACTTTCCTAGCATAAGCAAGGCCCTTTGTTCAACCCCCTGCACTACAAAAAAAAAAAAAAAAAAAAAAAGGTGCAACCTGTAACACTCAATTTAACAGAAACTAGAAAATGAAAGGGCTAAGAGAAGAGATTACTTTAATATTTTGTTAAATTCAATTCTAGGAACAAAAATTGAAGGAAGCTATTTTTTTTTAATTCTTCTTGCATTCAGTACAATTAAGTGAAATAGACTGGTAGGAAATGTGGRGGTTCCTAATAGTAATCTGCCTACTTTTGAGTATGTTTGAAATGTTCCTTAATATAAGGTTTTAAAAAAATTAAAGAGGATTAAAAACTGTCAGTTTCACAGTAAGGCAAACAAATTAGGAGAGGAGTCTGAGGCAGGAGTATCACAAGTTCAAAGTCAGCCTCAGCAATTTAGCGGGACCCTAAGCAACTCAGTGAGACCCTGTCTCAAAATAAAATATAAAAAAAGGGCTGAGGATGTGGCTTGGTGGTTAAGCACCCTTGGGATGAATCCTCAGTATCTAAAACAACAACAACAACAACAAAATCTGCCAGGAAACAAATATAGGGGAAAAAATAGGAATGAAGAAGGCAGAATTCAAATTTAGGAAATGCTATGAAAGTAGCAAATGCTCACATCTGCTGCCAGCTTTGGTGCCCTCTCCTCCTGGGAGAACTCCTGGCTCCAACATGAGGCAAATGCTCCTACTTGGAGACCCACTCTGCCGAGTCTTCCCTTCTGCCTCAGCAAGTGAGCTCCCGCAGGGAAACACAGCACCCTGTAAACAGCTCACCCCCAGCAGCACAAGCTCACAGCCAAGCACATCACAAGCTCACTGTGTGCTCAATGAAGGACAAAGAAATACTTGGAAAAAGGACAAGTATTTAGAAAAGGCTAGGACATCTTTTGTGTGTGTGTGGAAAAAAAGAAGATGACAACTACAAAGGGCATCTGCCACTGGGAAAAAAATGTAGAAAGAAGAACGAGAAAAAAAATAGGGCTGAGGATATAGCTCAGTTGGTAGAGTGCTTGCCTTGCATGCAGAAGGCCCTGGGTTCGATCTCCAGTACAAAAAAAAAAAAATAGAATCTGAAAACTGGATGGAGCATAATWACCAATCCCAAGGCAAAATGGCAATGATGTAAGGCTTACATAGTTTACTCAAGAAATTTTGGACAAAAGGTTGAGAAATGAACATATTTCAGAAGGGAGAAGTAGTGTATGGAGAACACAGCATCAAGGTTCTCACATCTGCCCAACTTGCCTTCATAGCCACTGTCAGAGGAAGTGGAAGACCCAGATTCTTGCTTTGGGTTGGTATAAATGGTCATTTCAGAGTCAACTTGGTCACTCCCAAGGGACCCACTGGCTTCTTGTATGCTCCAGCTCTCCGCCTGCTGTTGACTCAYGATGTCATACTTCATTTTCTCCATAGCTGATATAATCATATCAGCAACATAAAAGTAGGCATTCTCCTGCAGAGATAAAAAAAATCAATGAAAACATTCACAAGAAAAATCAACATTTTTTAATGGAGGGTATATTAGATTTGAAAAATCAAAAAGCTCCATTGAAGTGAAGTTAATGTAGATAGTGTTATTTAATCAGGTGTTTACAGGTCATCTATGGCTTGTAAACCATCAGCTAGAGACATAGATTTACTCCCCAATAGTCAACAGATGACCCAAGTTGAACTTGTTCTGATACAAAAACCCTATTGTTGGTAGTGTCCCCAGAACTGACATTATTCATCAAGCATGGAAATTTTCCCAGCTGAGCAGACCCTGCCTCTATACCTCTGCTGAGCACTCCTGGCATTCTCTACCTATCAAACACTGAAATGAATCCTATTTGCTATGCCTCATCCATGTAGAGTTTCCAGATTTAAATCAGAACAACACTACTTAATGGACTAGGACTCTGGGTGGTCAGGAAGAAGCAGAAGGACTGGGGCTGTAGCTCAGCGGTAGAGCGCTTGCCTAGGCACTAGTTTCCATCCACAGCACCACATAAAAATAAACAAAATAAAGGYATGCTGTCCATCTACAACTAGAAAAGTCAATAAATAAATAAGTAAATAAACAGGAGAAGAAGAAAGCATTCACCTTTTCTATGTCAACAGGTAATACACATGCCTCTGGTAAGAAGGAATTCAAAGAAATGGCTCTTCTCCTTATTTGAACAGCACCTGCAATATAGCAAGCCATTAAAAAAGGAGAAAACGAAGTTCAAAGAAGCTAAGAAAATAAAACAATCCTAAGGTTTAAGTTTTAAGTACTGCAGATAGATAGATAAAATATAACCRGCACAATTGTAAAATAAATGGGGACAGCAGCATAAGAACTCCTCTGATGGTAGGACTTGCAGATATTGCCTTAATGGGAGGCGACTGGAGTAACTGGTAGAATCCTCAGAGACAGCACAGGAGAATGCCTGGAGTGGAGAACAATGAGACAAAGAGGGTAGAAAGAGGACAGGAGACACGAGGTGGAGAAAGTGAGGAGAAACACTCCAGAAGCAGGCTACGAGAATTATGGGTTCATGTCTTTGACTTATTGCAATTGACCCTAAACTTCCTGTTACATACACAAAATCATCTGAAAAAGATCAGCATTGCTTCTCTAAAATAGTCTTCCTCCAGGTAAAACCAAGAAGAAAGTGCAGAAGTTACCTTCTGCTGAATCATCCATTCCTACACCCTTCCTTAGCCACTCCATTCCTGGCAATGACCACCTCAAACAAGCATAATTTCTGTCATGTACTTTCTTCCTGCATCATTGAAAGCAAATATTTCTGTGAGAGCCACAAGTGTTGAGTGTCCCAACCAACCTGCTAAATTAGAATAAAAGGCTGCAAATATCCTGCTGATTATGCACTTCCACAGATGACAAACAGAGACCAGCAGRTACACTCAAATGCCTTTCTTCATGTTCAAGAAAGAGGCCAGTGCATGGGTGGGGCCTTTGGGCTTTGGAAGGCCATCTGAGGCTGGTGAACTTTTTCGGAGAAGGACTAGGTAAATGAATGTATAGGGTTTGAGAGCTATAAGATATCTGTGACACTGTAAAAAGAGAGCAGCAATTGACCAAACACCTTTTTTTTTTTAATAAAAACAGGAAGCTAAAAGGACATGGCTGTGCACAGGTATAATTCCAGTGATTGGGAGAGTGACTGAGAAGAATCACAAGTGCAAGGCCAGCCTCAGCAAATAACTGAGGCTCTAAACAACTTTGCAAGACCCTGTCCAAACTAGAAACTAAAAGGAGGAGGACGAGAAGAAGAAGGAGGAGGAGGAGGAGGAGGAGGAGGAGGAGGAGGA